ACGGAAAGAGCAAGGCCTCGCGATTCGAGGAGGGACTCCTGGAAGCTGAGATATCGCGGGAGCTGGCAGCATTTGGGGGGGCGGGGGGGGACAGCTGCCTTAGACACGTAAACATTCAAAACACAGCCTGCTGCCTGTCACTTCACTCCGGTATCATAGATACTTAATTTCCTGAAAGTGTCCTTTGAATTTTTTTCAAGTTTTCTGCATCGGGTGGGGCTCCTTATGTGCTGGAAGAGCGATCACTCTAGGCCGTAGCACTGGGAGGCTGGTGGGGCTCTGGGGCAGCCAGAATAAGGCGCAGCACTTCCTTAGGAAAAACCCCAAACCCAACACACACAGTGGTTAGGGGCCACTTTTTTTTTTTTTTTTTATCCTCACCCGAGGACATTTTTTCCATCCTTTGTTCTGATAGAGCGGAGGGAGAGAGAGGAAGAGAGAGAGAGAGAAACATCGATGTGAAGGGACACATCGAGTGGCTGCCACCCGCACAACCAACCAGGGCCGGGGACAAACTGCAACCGAGGTACGTGCCCTTAGCGGGAACCGAACCCGGGTCTCTCAGTACCGCAGGCCGACGCTCTAACCGCTGAGCCAAACCGGCCAGGGCGGGGCCACTTTTTTTTAAACCACCTTTCTTATGAGTCTAAAGTCAGTTTAATAATTCAAATATTTGTGGTTTTCATTTCTAACGAGTGGTTAGAACTCTGGTGGGGCTGCTGAATGGCGGGCGGTGGAGAGGAGGACCAGGTCACGTGGAGGGGAACCGGTGGCCCCTGGGAGGTGGGCGGAAGCGGGGCTTTGGCTCTGGCGTAGGTACTGGGTAGGACGGTTCTTCCACCATCTTCTCCTGCACCGGCTCTGGTCATGACAAGCCCTGCAGATGGAGCCTCCTGCTCTGGTCTGCAGCTCTGCCCTGGCGTGGGCAAGGGGCACAGTGCCCACTGCCCCAGAGGGTGCTCCTCTCAGCTCAGGGCGCATAACGGAGACAGCGCACCTGAGACGGACTTGACTGTGGGCAAGACCATCATGATTTGTGTCCTCCTCTCTCAGCTTGGACCAGCTCAGAGCGCAGCTGGGCTGTTGGCCGCAGGTCCTCCTTCTTCCCTCCCGGGAGGGAGCTTGCGCTGGAGCTCAGCAGCGGAGAAGAGAAGGGAGACCACCTGAGAGGGGCCACAGCTCTAGCAGGAGCACATCTTCCTCTCTGAGCCTCAGGAAAGCATTTCCCCACCCTCCCACAGAGCCCGGAGTGAATGGCCTGCCAGCGCCCCATGAGACCACCCTCTAGGCTTCTCCTCTGCAGGCCACGTCCCCAGCACTGGCGGGTCCCAGGCCCAGAGGTGACAGGGCAAGGCTGAGGGAAGCAGGGCCCCCATTCCATGCAAGGTCCTTAAATCTGAGTAGGCGGGCCGCCCAGAGCCTCCTGACACCCAGGCAGAGGGAAGGCTCCTTGCAGGTGGAGGGGCAGGCGCCCTGGGCAGGGAGAGTGAGTGCAGGAGGACCACTTCCAGCGCCGTCCTGTCCTTGCTCTGGGTCCCGCGGAGGTTGGAGGGAGCGAGCAGTGGCCATTATTGTCACGGGTGCCCTGGAATTCTCACCCTTTCCAGTGGCTCTCACTGAAGACCAGGCGAGGAGAAGGAGAAGCCTTTCCGTAACAGAGACGGTTCCCCAAACTGCGGAGCCAGGCGAAGCTGTCCTGGGCGTCCCAGAGCTCTCTGGGCGCTCCGAGAGCGCTTTCCGGCCAGCCTGAGCCCCGGGCCGCTCCAGGCCACTCTCACGCAGACCCTTCCCACGCTTCTGCTCCCAGTGGGCGCACAGGCTGCCGGGTGACGGCCCGGCGCAGCTCGTGAGGAGCTGGACGCTGACCCGGAGCAGCCCGGCTTCCTCCCGGCACCTTCTTCGGCAAACGGGATTCCACAGAGGTGGTTAAACTGGGGGTTTTCAGGCATAGTCACGAGGGACCCTGTCACAGGGCCCGAGGAGGCAGGCCCGGTGGCGATGGCAGTGGGAGAGAAAGCAGTGCTGGGGACGGCCCAGGGGCGAGGACCGGCTGTGGGAGCGCGAGTCAACACGGTCGTCCCGGGAGCCTGGAGGACTCTGCACAGCCAGCACCTTGGCTTTGGCCCGAGACTGGTCAGGTCCGAGCCCAGAACTGGGAGAGAATGAACTGGAGCTGTAACACGGCTCGCGACTCGTGGCAGCAGCCCTGGGAAGCTGGTCCCAGCTCACTGACCTCCGCCACCTCCCCGACAGGTGAGCACACCAAGGCCACACGGCCGTGTGTTGTCTGATTTGCTGACTTGTGAATGTTAGTGGGAAGGCAGTAACTTTCTCCTGCCTCTATGACATAGACCTTTTTTCTGTGATCGTCCAGCTGATCATTGCAGGCCTTAGAATTTTTACTTTTACGGGTCTGATTGCCACACTGACTCATGGATTTGGTAACTGTATGCCACTGCACACAGACCCAGGGACAGGTCCTCGGACTGCAGAATACTGGCCAAGGGGAGGACCAGGAGAGACCAAAGAAAGAGGCTGGCCACTCCCTGCTGGTGACCAGTAGAGCTTAAGGGACACTTAGTAAATATGATGCATCTTGGGGGGGGGCTACAAGATGCTGCTTGGCAGGTGCAAAGAACTGTCTGAGGCAGAAGGGAAGTCACAGGTCCTCGCCTGTGGATGCCGCCAGGTCAGGTAAGGACAGCCAGGGCTCAGCACGCAGTGGGAGCAGGGGAGGCACTGCATCTGTCAGAATTAACACCAGTAGGAACTGAACATCACACAGTCCTTAAGGGAAGTTTGTGGTAAGCAACCGCTGTCTGGCCCGGGGCCAGCTCGTGGGTCAGCGTGTCATGGAACGGTGCCTCCTCCACACTGTATTTTCTTGAATCAAATTTAAGGAATCTGATGTGACACAAGTGAGTGACTTTATGGGAATAATAGGACAGAGGCAGTCTCATAAAACCAGGGACGCAGTGTCCCTGTCACTACACGACAAGTGCCAACACACCCCCTCCTCTCCTGCCCTCTCCCGCCCCAACCCTCCAGCCTCCACATCCCAGGAGGGAGGGGCTTCTCAGAGCTCACTGCTGCTCTCTGAACCAGGGCGGGCGTCGGGAAGGCCTCTGGGTCTCAGAAGTTGACTCACTGCTTCAATCCTCGCAGTACACATCCTGGGAGATTGCACCTTAGACTCGGAGGCTTTCGAGATACTTGGGAACATCCTGTGCCTAGTTTCTTTTCCATCAGTTGGTGGAGAAATGGAGCCAAATGTACTGCAGATGGTGAGACAGGACCGTGCAGGCCATGGGGGGGAGTGGAGAGGCTGCAAACAGCCGTTCTCCAGTGGGCTGCAGACGGCCATCTGGCTGACGGCTGGGTCTGAGATGTGAGCTCTCGGAGACTGTTCAAGCAGTTCTGGTGGCTCTCCCGTACGAGACACGAGGGCATGTCAATTCCTCTTTGTGGATCACAAGCTCAGCAGTTCCAGTTCGGCCTGGCCGGCGGCAGATTGCGTGATCCCACTTCCTCTCCTTGGCCCCGTGGCGCTGCGGGCTGCCCTGTGCTCCTTCCTGAATAGGATCCCAACCAAGGCAGGTCAGCGCGGCCTGATGTGCTGATGTCTCTCAGTGTAGCAGCCTTGGTCATTCTCATGCCCTTTGTCCTGGGATGAGGATGGAATTTGATGAGATTTTCCTGCTGGGGTGAATTCACACCTTTGAAACTGACTCAGCTTGACCCCAGCATTATAGCCCATTCTTTAATCTTTAACGACAAATTACAGAACAAATACAAATATTCCCCCAGTCCTTGGAAAAAGAGTAAATATGGATTCAATGTAACTTTGACATTTTGCTCAACAAACTATTTTGGGGGTAGTCATAGCTTCCATGAGAACATGCCCATGGCGACAGGAGGCGCAGCGCGGGGCTAACGCAGCTTCCTCACGGGTGCCCGTGCCCCTTGTGACACTGGATGATGCTCTGACATCTCTAAGGTCCCATCTAGCTTCAACACTGCTTCTCCCGGGTTTGATTTTCCCACCTGAGAGCCCCCTTCCTTGTTAGCGAAAGGATAAAACTAGGGCGAACGGGTCCTTTTGACTTTCAGCCCTTTGTTCTGGATGTGAAATTCCTACCTTTGCTCTCAAAGAGCTTCAGCATCTGGAAGAACCTCAAGGTCTGAGTGAACCTGACAGGACGTGTCAAGGTCAGTTGCGTGGATTTTCAAGGACATTTCAGGAAGTGTTCTTTCCCTCCATCTACCAGCAGAGGAATCTACTGCACCTCTGCCTAGACTGTGACCCAGAGGGCTCAGCCCTGGTCCCAGGCCTTCTCGGAACTGGCCGAATCCTTCCCCGCTCCCTTGGCTTCTGTTCCTGTCAAGGGGGGCACTGGACGCCCCCCGAGAGCCGTCTGGGCTGGGCAGCAGGGCTCCAGCTGTGCGCGGGGGGCGGGGCCGAGGGCGGCGCTGGGGCGGGCCGCAGGCGCCTGTGTCTATGGGGGAGCTCCTCTCAGCAGGATGGCTCATGATGGGGAGACAAGAGCCATCATGTCATTTCTGGGCCTGTAGGGAAGGCGAAGAGACATGTTTTGTACAGATATGACTTAGGAATGGATTCTGATTTTCAGAGTACAAACAATTCAGTCAGGCAAATTCCACAAACAGTAATAAAGATTCAGAAAATCACTCCTTTCCTTCATGAACAGTTAAAATCATGTAAAACGGGGAGCTGGGACTTAAAGCTTTGCCTTCCTTCCATCCCGAGGCTTCCAAGGGGAAACACGGCCCATCCCACTGGTGAAGACTGAGTCCTCTTTCCGTCTCTAACCGGGCCTGGGTCGGGCAGAGCACACACCACTTCAAACCACTGCTCAGCGGGAAGGACACAGTCACAGAAAATAGGGAAACTTACGCAGTTTCCTTGGCCACTTCCCCTGTGAGTGACCGTGCACCCTGCAGCCCTGCTGTCCTGGAAGGAGGGAAAAGGTGTGTCTGCCACCACCCAGTCAGAGCTCGACACAGCCCATTAGGAAATCCCTGGAGGACGAGGATATATATCCCTACCCCAGAGCCGAGCACACTGAGGTGACAGGACGCCGCAGCCTTCCCCACACAAGGAGCAACGAGGTAGAAAATGCTGAGCTGCAGGTAAGAGGCTTCTGAGAGAGGAGAGAGAGCAGGGGGGAGGGAGAGAGAGCAGGGGGGATGGGAGGGAGGGGAGAGAGAGCAGGGGGGATGGGAGGGAGGGGAGAGAGGGGGGATGGGAGGGAGAGGAGAGGGGGGGTGGGAGGGAGAGGAGAGAGGGGGGATGGGAGGGAGAGGAGAGAGGGGGGATGGGAGGGAGGGGAGAGGGGGGATGGGAGGGAGGGGAGAGAGAGCAGGGGGGATGGGAGGGAGGGGAGAGAGGGGGGATGGGAGGGAGAGGAGAGAGGGGGGATGGGAGGGAGAGGAGAGAGGGGGTGGGAGGGAGAGAGAGCAGGGGGGATGGAAGGGAGAGGAGAGAGGGGGGATGGGAGGGAGGGGAGAGAGGGGGGATGGGAGGGAGGGGAGAGAAGGGGGATGGGAGGGAGGGGAGAGAGGGGGGAGAGGGGAGAGGGAGAGAGAGAAGAAAGGGAGAGAGGAAGAGAGTGGAGAGAGGGAGAGAGGGGAGATGGAGAGACATTTCTCTCTGTCTCTCTCTTCCTCTCCCACTCTATCTGAGGTAAGTGGAAGAATATCTCTGGGTGAGGAGATATATATATATATATATATATATTTACTCTCAATCATACTGGAGTAAATGACAGGATTCATTTTCACCGTCAGTGCCTCAGTTTCCCCATCTGTTGCTGAGGAGGAGCCAAGGTGGCGGAGGGGGAAAGACTCCGGCCCAGGGAGCACTTGGGTGGTGCCACGGCACTGCCTCAAGTCTGCTGTCACTGCTGGACAGTCTCCCCTTGAGCCCCACTCCCCTCCGGAGGCTGTCTTCTTGGAACCGCCTCCCTCGGGAGTCCCCCGCCTCTGGGCTCCCGCTCTGCTCATCATCTCTGAGTCTCTTCTGTGAACTGAGGCCACCTCCTCCTCTGCAGCCCAGCCCACCCACCAGGCCCCCTCCCTGGCCTGTTCTCCGAGCTTGCCTTCCCATCAGAATGGGGTCCCTTCCTCCAGCTTGGTATGGAACAAAAGAGAGTCCCTGCCCTCAAATCTCACCATGGTCTTGTCGGTTTTAATTATAGTTTAGCCTACTTGATTATTCTAAAAGGCAAGAAGGAGGTCTCTTCCCACTTGTTCCCAGTTGGCCTGGGAGCTTCTTTTGTGCCCTGACCGCAGGCCACCCCTCAGCATTTCCCTCCCACCCCACCTCCAAGTCCATTGATTTGACAGCAAACAACTGAGTGACCAGAAGACGCACAGACCTCCCCACTCCCCCGCCTGCTTCCCCAGGATAGCAGCCTCTCATGACACAGAGAAGAAGCAGTACAAGGAGAACAGATCTGGGCTGTCTGTCTGTACTGCCATCTCCATCACATCAATGGGGACACTTGACCATGACCTCTCTTGATGGGACATTTGGGGACACTTTGACTAGTGGTTCTCAAACCTGAACCCACAGCATCACCTGAAGGGCTTGTTAAAACACAACTTGGGCCCTGTCCGCCTTTCCGATTCAGCAGGTGTGTGTGTGGTATGGCAGGACCTGCATTTCCAAGTGCCCAGGTGATGCTGCTGCTGTTGGTCTGGGAACCACACCGTGAGAGCACTTCATGCCCAGTGGCAAACCTACGTATTATTTCAGGACAAGGGCCTTGGGGCCATTTGAAAACAGAGGTCACAGAGACACCTGGTGGTTTGACAGGCGTGCCGAGCGGGAGGGTTAGACAGGCCCTTCTGGGTCACGGGGAGAAGCAGGCCCGGGCAGGGCACGTGAGGCCGGCATGCCTGAAGCTCTACCTCAGGTCAGCTCTTCTGTTCTCTGCCCACAAAGGAGCGTGGCTGAGGGGAAGAGGGCGGCGAACAGGTGAAATGAGCGTGGGCGTATCTGTGGCCAGCTCATGGGCCAATCCCAGTGGCGCCACAAGAAACAGTGTTGAGTTGATGTGGAGTCTCCAGCGTCTCAGAATCCCTGCTCCGCAGCTCTCGGCCCTGGGGAGCTTTTAAAAGTCCCGGGCCAATTGCATCAGGAGCTTGGGGGTTGGAGCCCAGGCATGAGTTGCTTTTAAAGCTTCCCAGGCAATTCTGACGTCTATTCGAGGCCGAGTCCAGTGCCCCGTTCCACCTCTTACCCATCTCCCTGCCCAACGCTTTATAAACGAATCAGAGACATACTCTCCTTTCAAACTGTGTTCTGACCCCATCACGCATGCGATGGCTCGTGGACCGGCGCTTGGCTCCCCAGCTGCGCAGTGGAGAGAATCTGATGTTCTGCGTCAAATTCCACGCAGGTGTTTCTGAGGCACTTCCGTCAGGAGCCCGTTTCAGGTTGTGCAAACATACTTTCCTAAACACAGGAGGCAAAATGACCGTGGCACTTGATTTTGGGGCAAAGAGCTCAGTTTAAAACCTAGATATTAGCTGCCTATTTGACTTAGGAATGTAACTTTATGTTTCTAGTTGTTGTTTTTTTAATCCTCACCCGAGGATATTTTTTCATTTATTTTCAGATAGAGTGGGAGGGGGAGAGAGAGAGGGGGTGAAAGAAACATTGATGGGAGAGCGACACATTGATTGGTTGCCTCCCGCACAACCCCAACCAGGGCCAGGGATGAACCACAACCAAGGTTCCTGCCCTTGACTGGAATCAAACCCATGATTCTTTGCTGTGGCGGACCCTCTAACTGCTGAGCAACACCAGCCAGGGCTCTTTATGTTTCTGGGTGCTAGTTTCACTCACCAGAAGAAAGGGATGGATGAGAGAGCAGGTTATTTGTTATTTTGAAGAATCTCTGGAAGGTATTCCTATCACCCACATTTTTTATGAAATGTCAAGGGGGAATTTAAGAATGCATGGACTTAGCTGGGGACTGCAAACCTGAGTGCATTTGAGGCTCGTGAGGCCGGCAGGTCTGTGAGGCCAGGACGGACCGGGCCTCTGGCCGACTGGAAGGTGCTTGCCCGTCAGAAAAGGTGGCCAGCGAGGCAGTGCCAGCACTTTGGCTCTGTGGCACCTGTTCACAGGTTGGGTTGGTCCACGTGCTCTGGTTTGTCAGCCTCCACACCCGGTGACGACGTGGTCGAATAGCCTCCGTTGGACGGGTGAGGGTCCTGTCCTGGCCCCTCCCCTTGTATTGCTTCCTTGGAGCAGGAATTTAACTTCTCTAAGCCTCACTGTCTTAATCTCTAAGACAAATGTAATCGTATGTAGTTCATAAATGTTGGGAAAATGAAAACAAATAATACGTTTCCAAACTTTGCCTGCGTGCTGGTGCACGTCAGCGTCAGCTGTCTTCAGTCTTGTCGCAGCGTCGTCACGTCCTCAGACTCTGAGCCCTGACAGCAGAATTCCGGAATTGCACCGAGCAGGCTGGCGAGCCGGGCACGGGCACTTCATGCCGGCTCTCACTCGTGTGCCTGGTTGATCTGCGGACAGGCCCCTCCTAGTGACCAGCGCTCCTCAGACCCCGAGTCCTGTCGATAGGCAGGTGAGGCTGACCCCCAGGTCTGAGCTGGGCCTGCGAGTCTGCATTTCTTACAAGTGATGTCCATGTCACTGGCCCACGAGCCACACTGTGAGCACCAGGCTTCAGAATATTCAGGTGAGGTTTCCTTGTTCGGGAGCAGGGAAGAGGTTCATTCACGGACATGCATGGATACTAACTTTCCTAGCGCTATTATTCACCAGAACATTTTCTTAAATGTCTATAATAGGCGGAATTCTAAGATGAGTCCCAGTGATCCATGGCCTCGTCTGAACCCCTCCCCTTAAGTGAGGGTGAAATATATGGGTAGGAGGGGTGCCGTGTCCATGATTAGGTCATTGTCTACTGCAAAGGTGAAGGAAGTTTGCAGATATGATTTAGGTCCTCAGTTGATTGACCTGAAGTTAATCAAAAGGGAAACCACCGTGTGTGTCTGACCCAGCCAGGGCTCTTTGGACAGAGGTGTAGAGGTCAGAGTTGGGAGGTCAGAGAGAGGTAAAGCCCCATCTGGAGTCTTCTGCTGAGCCAGAGGAAATGAACTGTCGTGTTGTGCAGAGGGCCACGGGGCAGGAAGTGGTGGGTGGCCTCTAGTCGCTGAGAGTGGTCCCTGCTGACAGCGGCCTGGAAGTGGGGGCCTCAGCTACAGAATGCAAAGTGGAATTCTGTCACCAGACACGTGCACTTGGACAGGGCCCTGGGCTTTGATGTTAGTCTGTGAGACCCTGAGCACAAGCTCCATCCAAGCAGAGGCCGGACACCGGACCCGCAGCGATGAGCGCAATCGCCGGGTGTGGTCTGAAGTCACTGAGCTGTGGCAGTTTGCCACATGGCAATGGAAAAGGGACGCGATGTCCCAATTCTTCTCTTGGTTGCTGTGTGCAGTCCCAGGTATTCTGCAGTGCTAACTTGAGCACCCTGCAGCTGAGTATATCACAGGTACTTTGCTCACACTGTATGTCATCACCGGCCGGCCACATCAGACGGTGATGGCCTGTCGTAGCCTTCAGAGGCTGTTTCCACAGTGAGCTCAGAGACCAGCCTTTGGACTCACTGTTTGACATGAGCACTGCGGTGGGAACAGGTGCTTCTTTTACTAAACAGAAGGAAAAACACATTCAGGAGCGAGGGAGCAGGCACCTCAGCCTCTTATCAGGGTGGCCTGGCCATCCTATGTGACTGCTGCTGATCAATGAGGGCTCAGGGTAATGGGAGCAGGAGAAGAGAGGGCGGGGGAGGACATCCAAAGAGAAACGGGCAGACCTGGAAATGCCCGCGTCCTTCCCGCTTACTTTTCATGGCTATCACCAGTCCTGGGGGCGTGCCTCACTTTAAGGGTGCAGAGAAAGGAACTCCTTTTCAAAACAGAAAAGTTCCAGATGTTGGTGAACATGGTTCCCTGCACCACATGGTGTGGCTGAGGAGGTCGGTTGGAGTGGCAGGGGCAGGTACCAGGATTCCAGATGGCCCAGTGGCAGGGAGCGCCCCGCCCCAGGGGCACGCTGAGAGCAGCCGGAGGGCAGGTGAGCGAGTGCC